ATTAAGCTGCGGAAGTTTTCCTCCAAGAATTCTCTCACTCTTATTGCAGATGACTTCTTTTTTGTGTCTTCCTCCAGTAAGCAAATAATTCTAATGTTGTTACACTTCATAGCATCTGACATAGCTCTTAGGTTTTCTTCAGCTTCTCTGATGATCTTATTAGATTTTTGTTTACGTTTGTTGAAGTCTGCTTGACTGTCCTCCAAGTCACTGATGCGCTTCTCTGATTCCTCCCGTTGATTCTCAAAGTCTGTGTTTCTGCTGCTGGTTTTTGTTATCTCCTCCCTAAGCTCCTGTATTTCCCTTTGGTGTATGGCTTTTATCCTCTCTATCATTTCACCCTTTTTCTGTATTGTTTCCCTCATATCCTGTATGACTCCAAGCAGCATTCTGAAAATTTCTTTCTGGGAGCACAATGTCTCCTTCTTCTATGCATGTCATTATGTTCGGGACCTCTTCTGCCATTGCATTTTGTTTCTCCTGATTTTTCGTTGAGGTCGTGTGGGGCTGATGGCTGTTTGCATTGTGTTGTTTTAGAGGAGCCGAATGCTACTTTCCAGGGAGTTGAAGAGCACTGGCTCTCTCTGGGAGCCTTTTAAGAATGCTTTTTGAACTGCCTACAGCTAATTTCACGATAGAATTAACCTACCACTTTATCCTCCTGTGGCTTCCCTCTCAGGAGAGTGCCCCAGAAAGCTGGTGGGTTTCCTGCTTTTGGGTTGTGGAGGTTGGGCAGAGGTTCCTGCAGCAGCTTGGAACATTGACGAGTGTTGGCTGAGCTGCCTTAGGCCCCCAGGCACACAAGCAGGAATTCCCAGGTAAGAAGTTGGGCAGAGTATCCCCTGGTGGAGGTCAGCAGGGCTTTCCCCAGCCTTGGGCTAGCTGCACAGGGTGGAGCTCACCTAGCTGGGTGTGGCACAGGCATAAATGCCTTAGGCTAAGGAGAGTGGTCTGAAGGTCAGCAGTGGAGTGTGGGAGAACAGTAAAGAGACAAAGAGGAGGAAAAATTTAAAACGTAAGCCTGCTAAGACTTTGGGGGATATAGAGAAAAGAGGGAAACAAAAGTAACAATGTAGCTGAGTCCCAATCCCTGCAGGTGGAGCTGCTAGGGTTTAGTCTTTGTCCTGAGGCTGTGGAAGCAACCTGTGGCTGTGTTGAGAAAAAGCTCCTGCACAGCCCTCCAAGACTGTGCAGGGATAGAGAGAATTGAGGGAAATAAAAGTAACAATGTAGCTAAACCCCAGTCCCTGTCCATGGAGCTGCAAGGGTTTAGTCCCTGCCCTGAGGCAGGCAGCATCAAACTGTGGTTATGTTGAAATTAAGCCCCCTTAAGGGTTCCAAATGGTCCCGGCTCCAGCAGAGACAGTGGCGGGGCTAAGGTCAAGCCCCAGCCGGCCTCCACTGTGGTAAGCCTAAAGCCACAAGCCCCTCAAAGCCTTGTGTGCCTGTGCCTACTTATCTTTTTGATGCTCTTCCTGCATTGCAGCAGTGTTGAATTTCCCTCCATGCATCTCTTCTGGACTGAATTATGTGGAGTCCCTCTTGTATTTGTTACTCCATCGCCATCTTCCTGGGACTTGGAGGGATTCTATAATCTCCAAACTTCACATACTATATGACTCCATTTCTAAGACAGTCTCATTGAGAACATATTTCTGATTGCCATGACAGAAACAAGGGTATATTTTGGGTATAGGATAGTGAAATAAATATTCTGTATCTTGATTTTTGTGATGCTTTCATAAATCTAAATGGAATGTAATTACACACAAACACACGTGGATGCATGTAAAAACATGAGAAAATGCCATAATCTCTAGTAACACTATTGTACCAAGGTCACCAATTTCCTCATTTTGGTATCTTACATCAGTTATATATAATGTTACCATAGAAGGAACCTCAGAGATGGTATATGGGACTCTACCAACTATTTTGCCAAATTTCCATGAGTCTATAAATATTTCAAAATAAATATTGAAATTAATAATACTCCTCTGCCTCAAGTGGTGTTTCATCTGCACCCATTTCACCACACAACCTTAGGACTCTAGCACCAGGGTTGGGACCAGAGTGGCTAAGCTAAGCGGTACAATCCCTTTCGCCATCACATAGTTCACCCAATATTTCTTTGGCCACAGGGATGATTCCGGAACTGGCATGCAAACTTTGATAGTTAGATAAATTTTATGGAGTTAGTGATGAGGATAGTACATCATTTTATTCTACATTGGAATACACAATGTTTAAGTGACATGTTTTATCTCTTCTCTATTATGATAGTACAGCATATGTAATGAGTACAGCCTAAAGATAATGATCCTATTTCAATAAAATGAAAAACATAATAGGACGAAGAAGTCATAGAGTCATAAAAATCACTGGTCTCAAAAAGCCCAAAGCCACCATCCCAGGCATACCTAGCTGCAGGGCTCTGGGGACACCTAGGGTCTGTGCTCCCCAGGACGGCTCCATCCTCCCCTGAGGTTCAGTGGCCAGACTGCTCTCCTGGGAGGAGCCAGGGAGGATTCCAGTCAGATATAAGCACCGACCTCCTGTGGAGTCAAGAGACATTTTCATACCTGTGGGAACTCCTTCCCAGGGACTCGGTGCTGTCTGCCTCCATACCTTCTGAAGTGGAGGGGGTGGACAATCTGCCACTGCCGGACGTCTTATCGAACAGGTTACAAAACCAGGGAGGCACTCAAGGGATGTCAGCGCCCCCCACACCAGCCCCCTCCTGGACCCTGTCATCTTCCGTGCCTTCTCAGAAGACCTGCCCAGGCACCTATGGTTTCACTCTGGGCTTCCTGAATTCCGGGACCGCCAAGTCTGTCACCTGCACATACTCCCCCGACCTGAATAAGCTGTTTTGTCAGCTGGCAAAGACCTGCCCAGTGCAGCTGGGAGTCACGTCACTGCCCCCGCCTGGCACCCGTGTGCGCACCATGGCCATTTACAAGAAGTCTGAGCACATGACGGAGGTTGTGAAGCGCTGTCCCCACCAGGAGCGTTGCTCTGACTATATCGATGCCCTGGCTCCTCCTCAGCACCTCACCCGGGTGGAAGGAAACCAGTGCGCTGAGTACCTGGAGGACAACGTGACCCTGCAACACAGTGTTGTGGTGCCCTATGAGCCCCCCGAGGTCGACGCCGACTGTACCACTGTTCACTACAACTTCATATGTAACAGCTCCTGCATGGGGGGCATGAACCGGCGGCCCGTCCTCACCATCATCTCCCTGGAAGACTCCAGTGGTAATCTGCTGGAACATAACAGTTTTAAGGTGCGGGTTTGTGAGTGTCCTGGGAGAGAAAGGCGCACTGAGGAAGAAAACTCCCACAAGAATGAGGAGCCTTGCCCCAAGCCACCCCGGCAGAGCACTAAGCAAGCACTGCCCACCAGCACGGGGTCCTCCACCCAAACGAAGAAGAAGCCACTGGATGAAGAATATTACACCCTTCAGATTTGTGGCCGTGAACGCTTCAAGATGTTCTGGGAGCTGAATGAGGCATTGGAGCTGAAAGGCTGGGAAGGAGCCAGAGGGGAGCCAGGCTCACTCCAGTCCCCTGAAGGCTAAGAAGAGACCATCTACCTCCCGCCACAAAAAGACCACCTTCAAGAAAGAGGGGCCTGACTCAGACTGACACTTTTGTGTCCGGTCCCCCATGTATACAAACCCGGTCCCTCACACCCTTGACCTCCTCTTCTAGCCTTTTGAAACTGAGGTGCTTGAACCGTGCTTGGCACTGGTGTAACTCCAAAACACCCAGGAACTCTTGATCTCCTCCCCTAAGAAGTTGGACTGCACGGGTGGGGTTTTTTGTTTGCTTGCTTGCATTTTGAGAGTGAAGGCCGCTGGCACACTCCTGAGTTCAGCTTTTATAAAGAACCCTTGGGAGCAATAGGAGTATCGTCATGCTTGTGAGAGTTAGATTTTCCAACCAGCTATACGTTCATCGGAAGGCCCACATCACCAGAACTCACGAAGGATGTGGAATGCGCCTTCTCTGTGAACGCTGATCCCTACCTCACACTGATTCCTACCTCCTGGGCTTGCCCCTGTTCCAAGGAAATAGAAGTCTGAAATAATAACCGAAAGGGCCCCAGCTGCCTGGCCTTCGAACCCTCATGGGTTATGGCTACGTGGCCTCTGGGTCTTTCCCTTAGGGGTGCTGGGCCCCTATCCCTGCTGGTTGACAGGCCTATTGGGCAGCTGGTTAAGGGAAGGGAGTTGTCATATCCCTTTTCTGCTGGCCTAACCAAGTCCTGTCTGGACTCTTGGTAAGTCTCAGCACCAGCAGGGAATCTCACATCTCACCCCCTCCCAGGCCCTGGAGGAGTCCAGCGCCGACACTGGATCTGTGTCACTGCCCCTGATGCTCAGGGTCTCCGCACTGTGCAAGGGCACATCTGCCTGTTCCTCCCCTGTGATCCCTTCCCCCCACCACTTTGTATACCCCATTTTTATATCCAATTCTTATTTTACAATAAAATTTCTGCCACTTGTGTGCCTGGGGAAAAAAATCCCTGGTCTCTCTAAATCCTTAGGAATGCCTGCCCCTATGACGATGACATCACCTCAATTTCCTTATAAACTTAAGTTGCTGCATCTTTTCTTTAATCCACTTACCTAATTATATATCTATCAATAGACTGTGTTTTTGAGCTCCTGAGTGCCACATCCAGGGGCATGTACCCTGTAATGGAGTCTGCCCTGTACCATTGAGATTTCTCTTCAGAATTGAGGAACTTATTCCCCCTGATACCAGGAGTTTGATGGTTTGCAGCTCATAACTCTGTGCTTAGTCAAAGAAAGCTGCTAGGTCTCTATACCCTTCTTTTCAGAACCTTTCATTCAGTGTTACAGTAGTACAAACACCTAGTGTCTTTTTCTCAATTTGGGAAACTTTGAAGGTCCATCCTAAACTTACAGCTCATTGTACTGTTGGTGAATTTACTTATGTGAATGTATGCCAGTTCAAAAATTTCCCTTGCCCAATTCACTAATTCTGGCTCCTCTACAGGTGTTCCCTAAAGTACACCACAATGAATCTCTTGTTTGTTAATCACAGAGTTATAGAATCTGTTTCCCTGGGAACTCTTTCTGAAACAGTTGCTACCAGGAGTAGACCAAGGAAACAGATTCAAGTTTAGGAGTTTTATAGCTGAATAACCTGCTGATCAGTTACAATGAAGAGCCCATTATTGGTGGTAGGCAGAACAGAAGCACCCTCTCAATCAACAACAATGTTCATTGGCATGAGCGGGGAAGGGAGTCAATGAACTACATGCCATTGATGCGTGCAATATATCAGGCATTTGAGAGCCACGAGAGGAGAATCCATTTAGACTGTGAGACCACTCCTGCTGTGTTGGTACTGTGTGAACTTGAGGCGCTGGAGAAACACAATGAGAGTCTGAGAGTGATTCATCACCAATTAAAGTTTAGATGTGAAGATCAAAGGGCAGCATATTGAAATAATTTTGCCTCTTCCAACTGGAAGACAAAAAAAAAGTGAGATTCAGTTCCTGGATTTAATTATAAGAACCGAAGAATCCCATAGGTGATTGCATTTTCAACCCTAACAAATCTTCTGCATCAAGAGCATGACCTAAGAAGACTTGTAACACTCAGACATGGGAAAATAAAACCTAAGAATATGTACTCAAGAAGATTGAGTCCCCAGTGGTAGTCAAAGTGACCCACGCATTGTAATAAAGAATAGGAATCCCCCTTATTTAAAGACAGATATGGTAGTTATTTCTTCTTCATTCTTGGTCATCAGAACAATGATAAGGCTACATCACCACGTGCTCCAGCAGAGAAAATGCTGCATCTACTAAAAAACAACAGGGACCACACCTTGAAGGAGCAGAAAACCTAGCCAAGTGGAGTCCAGTGAGTACATATGGACCCGATTCTGAACTTCCTCGATCAATGGGAATGAAATGTAAAGTTGAATAAGGGAGAGTTGGTAGATATTAATATGCAATTACTTCACAATGATATAAAATGTAGTGATATTCTAGGAAAGATTGTGTAGGAGATAGTGCAGCCAAATTCGTAGGCTGACTTTTAGAAGCATACAGAAAGCATTGGACCACAATAAGTGAATTAGAAATGGCAGAACTGCTGAACAGACAATGGAAGGAGGGATGAAAAAAAAAAGCACAGAGCAAGAAACCTGCTAAAGCATACTATATAAGGCTGGATAAACCAAAACTCAAATATCATCTCAAGAAAGACCTGAAGAACAATACTTTCATCAAAACAACAGAAAATAAGCTGATTAAAGGGGCACCAGCAACTTTAAAAGCATCTTTGAAAGCTCTGTAGGTTAGAATTGATGGTTGCAGATGCTGCCTTAGAACTGGACTGGAGCAATGGAGATGGCCAAATCAGAAAATAAAAGAGACTAGGAGATACTGAGTTTTCAAAAACTAGGTGTATGTAGCTATCACGAGGAGCAGCATGGCTAATGGAACTGCAGCTGGAGATCCTGGCCTGCAGAGAGCGATGGAGATGACTAATTATTCCAGCTATATCAATATAGGAGCCCCAGTGAAGCTGTGGGATAAGAATTGTACTGCTAATCCTAAGGTTGGTGGTTCAAACTCACCAGCCACTCCTTGGGAAAAGATGGCATTTTCTACTACTGTATCAATTTACATTCTCGGAAACTCCATGCAGGGTCACAATGAATCAGAGTAAATTTAGTGGCAGTGTTATTTATTTATTTTTGTATACAAAGTATGAGTATTTATCTACCTTCTAATTAAAAGACATTAAATGTCTACAGGGATGAGCGAAGCTGCCCTAATGAAAAGTTGTCATCTCTATCTTAGGATGAATTCACTAGGGAAGCAAAAGCAGTTATACATATATAGTAATATATTATATATTTCAATAAATGTATAGTAAATATGTTTTGTAATTTTAATAGAATTTAATTTGATTTATGTTTATTTAAATATGTTCTATTGTGTGTATATATATGCATACATATATAAAGGCTCACACAGTTGTAGAAATTGGCAAGTCTAAGCCTAGGCTGGCTTCAATCTGTGGATTAACTGTTAAGCTGGAGGAGTCTCCTGACTTTCTTAGCTAGGTGAGCTGACGGACCCAAGATGAACAGGAAGACTACAGGCTGCTGAGTGCAGAGATGGATGAATCCAAGGCCAGTAGATCAAATTTTCCACAGCATCCACTTGAATTGGAAATAGGCCATACACCTCCAAAATGTAATTGCTTCAGCGTTGTGACCTGAGTCAGGGTATTGCATTCTACCCTAACCTTCTTGCAACTGATGGGCTACTTATAGCCAATCTCATTATGAAGTTGATTACATTGAATTAGGTCACATCTTGGGAAATTAACTACCAAACCAGAGAATCCTGGCCCACTGGCCACTTAAGCCACCTGTCTTGAAAAGACCTATTACAATCTCTTTCCTATTTCTCAAAGCTGAATAAAATTTCCAAGTACTTGGGATAAAGAGGCCATATCCTCACTTATAATAACCTCGCAACAACAAGGCAAGCTTGTAATGACAATGATTTTCAAAATGACCCACACTGTTATTCTTGGGTAACTACATTTTGGAAGATAATGCTTACATTTTTGAAGAATTTTAAATATGAGGTTAGAATTGAGATTCATAATGATGGAAAACATAATAATTGCCTACCCTTTAAGTAGGACAGAGATGTTTGTGGAGGCTGAAGGAAACAAGAGGGGGTACCCCCCCAAAACCGGAGATATTTTGAAAGGTATGTATTGAAATTTTTTTTACAAAACAATGGTATCACCTTTAAAGTATTCTCCATTCCAATTAATATATTTGTCAACTCTGTGATTCCATTCTTGGAAATATTTTCCAAACTTATCTGTTCAGCTGACTGACAGCACCTCCCTTGTTTTTTTTCTTTATCTCTTCTAAAGTGCTATTGTTTCATGTTCCTCTTCATTTATGGAAGTAAAAAGAAGTCACACAGAGTGAGGTCTGGTGAGTAAGGTGCACAGAGCAAGAGAGGCATGCCGTTTTTTGCTGAAATCTGGTGCACTGAGAAGGCTGCATGAGCGGGTGCATTGTCATGGTGGCATAACTCTGCCAAAAATCAGGCCTTTTTTGGTCTCACAGTTATGCTGGCTTTTTCAGAACCTCGAAAAAGAAAGCTTGATTAACAGTCTAACCTGGAGAATGAACTCCAAAGGCACGATGAGCTGACATTTTCACCTGTTTGGGAAGTTGATGGACATCCAAAATGAGGTTTGTCATCAATCGAAATTTTACCTTTTATGAAACAAGAAAACCACTTGAGTTATTCCCATAGTGCTGTCCTTGTAAGCTGTGTTCAACATCACAACAGTTTCTATGACATTCCGAAGCCGGAAACAAAATTTCACAGCCATAGGCCATTCTCTTAACCCTATAATGCCGAGGGTGAAGTTTTCGTAACATTTAATTAAAATGTGTCTGGTATAGAAATTATGAAGCATTTGGAGCCGACTAAGATGTCGACGAAATCGTCGCACTTTACTAGTTAGTACAAATGCATACCACTAGTCACGCATTTTAGCGGCAAAATGCTTGATTAGTGGCACATGTTTTGACCGATTGTGCATTTGAAGTTAAGTGGT